CCCCATAGCTTCATGAACATAAAACCAGAGACCACTGACTGTACTTCTTTTTTGATATTCAGTCATCCACAGAGAGTAACTGCTTACCATGTCAGGAAGTGGGCAAGGCAGTGAGAAATCCAAACGTCAAAAAATGCCTATTATGGAGAATTTGACATTTACACAAATATATGTGTATTTGACATATACAAAAGCATTTTCTATAGACACAAGTCTAAGGAATACTTTTAATGCATCTATGTGTGCCCATCACATGCCTTACAGCCATCAGCCTACATCTGCCGACCCATTCACACGCCACTACTACCATCCTCCTGACTCCCACATTATCCTAAGGCACACCATCTCTAGATAGTCCAATGTTCTCCAAAATATAGGAACTCTTAAAAAAATACATAACCATTTTTTAAAAATGCATAATACATTTTTCTTTAATATCAAATATTGAGGAATCAAATTTGAATAAAACATAGGTCTAACATTCAAAGAATTTATAGCCTAGTGGAACAGATAGACAAGGAAATTAGGGATTATACTAGAGTAGAGCAGCATCATATGCCCATGTAAGTCACCTGATTTAAGCTATTCAGTTGGAGAAAGAGGGACAGAAGAGGGGAGAGGAAGGGAGGGAAAAGAAGGAGGAAAAAGGAAGAAAAGAGAAGGGAAGGAAAAAATAACAATTTAACTAATGGGAGATAGGATTTCTACTTACTTCCTCCATGAGGATGGCCAACATGAGTTTGAAGGAGGCAGGAACCTACTTTTCCTTCAATCAATCCCATTTCCTATTTGCCTTTCAGAGTGTGAACGTCTCAACACCCTGAATATAATTTAGTGTTTACAGATAATTTTCCGTTAAACAGCATTTGTGTCATCTCTTCAATGAGATTGAAAGCTCCCATAGGGTAAGGGGAATGGAAAGGATCTGTAGCTTACAATTCTCACAGCAAAATAACCATAGTAGGATCTCACTGACTAGCCCACAGGAGCATCCTGTATACTACTGGTTGAGGTGCCTAAATAAGAATCTCCAACATGTAGCTCTTGTGGTGTTGATTTTCATTAATTGTTTTCATCTACTGTTGTGTAACCAGGTTCAGTAAGGAGAACAAGGACAGCATAAACCCTTACATATATACGCCCTTTGGAAGTGGACCCCGAAACTGCATTGGCATGAGGTTTGCTACCATGAACATGAAAGTTGCTATCGTCAGAGTTCTGCAGAACTTCTCCTTCAAACCTTGCAAAGAAACACAGGTCAGACCCTTACCACGTTATCACTCTACATAAATAATGCTTGATCAAGAGTTTTTCTTAAACTGAGGTATATATGCATGAATGTGCTCATCCATTGTTTAATAATTTGCTCTGTTGGCCAGAGAATCTATTTGGAGTCACAGGTGACCTTTAAGACCCAGGTAGTCTGGAGTGCCACCCCTGTGGCTTCATAAATACCCAACTGTAAAGGCCACCTAGAAGCGATGTAGCTGGCGTGAGGTGATGATGCAGGGCCCTTTGAGAAAAGTTCAGATCTGGTTTCAAGTCCACTAGAAGGAAGGGGAAGCACTGTGCACGGCCTTGAGGTGCAACGATAACAACAGGGCCATGACTTTTTGAACACTGTTCTTTTCCACCAGACCTTACAGAAGCTCTTGTGATAGTGGTTCTCAACCCCTGGCTGTACAAAGAAATCAGCAGGGATCTTTTAAAAATCCTATGCCTAGCTCATCTCAGATTCTAAAATAATTCATCTTTTATGGCTTTAAAAGCACCCCCTTTGGGTCTCATGTGCGGCCAAAGTGGATTAAAGCATTTCTGTCTGATATAAAGACTCCCACAGTCTATAGCCATCCTGGCTACTTGAAACCTGCTTCTGTGAGCCATGCTGCACTCAAGATGGGTTCCTTTACATCCTAATAAGAGCTCTACGATAGTCTCCTCGCTCTCCTCCCCATTCTGTTCTCATCCTTCAAGTCCTAATTCACTCCCAAAGCCCCTCCAGGAGCCTGCCCCATCTAGTCCAGAGCACATTTTTTCCTCCGCTGTGTTATCAGTACTTCAGGTTAGTATCATGAGCCATACCACCTCACCTAAAACTTTATCATTAAACCACCCAGCTTGGTTCTCTGTTTTCTTTCTATCTAAGAATATATTTAACCCTAGCACCTCATTTTATTCCTTTCATAAATTCCCAATGGTGCCTTGCAGTCATGCAGGAAATGCTTGGAGTTTTTTGCAGTTGATTGAAGATCTTGAATTTAAATTTTAAATGATTTAATTTGAAAATTTAACAAATAACATTTGCAATCTATATTTTCTATGTGTGTTGTCTGTGTACTGGGGAAATATATATATGCCATTTGAAATTATAAAATAGAAAGGTTTTACATTAATAGGAAGATCTGGAATCTCTCCAACTATAAACAATAGTTGCCATTGATTCATGTCAAGCAAGGCCCTACAGTAGGGCTTATTTCTAGGACTCATGCACTTATTATTGCAGCTCCTTTCCTTAAGTAGGCTTTCTCAGAGAAGAGGAGGGTGATGGAGATGGTTTCCATCTTGTTTGTGGTTTTGGGCAGCTGTGTAGCAGTCCTATAAGTGTGTACAAATGAAGGACTCAGCCCTGAGAGGGAGTGGGTCTCTGGCACACCTGGGGTGGGAAAGACACCTTCTGAAAGCTCCCAGTCATCTATGGCTGGTGCTTCTCACCCTCCATGACAATTTTCTTGCCCTTCAGTCAGCTGTGATCAGAAGGTGACTGTGTTGGTGACTCCCCCAACACTGAGGGAATGACTGGGTGAGAACAGAGCTAAAAAATTTGTCAAAACACTATACAGGTCTTCAGAAGTTCACTATTTACACTACACTCGGGAGTCAGGAGATGTTAGAAAACAGGCACAATGCTTCACAAAGACCTTTTCCCATCATAAAACTGGAAGGTTTCCACAGGGAGAGGTGACTGGTCTCCTTAGAAGTCATGGATAATTCAAATAATTAAAATCTATAAGTATTCAGGATTACCTTGCAAGTTCCAATTTGCACAAAATTAATTCTGTATGGCTTTTCTAAATAGTTTTTCATAATGCCTAAGAATCTGGTTTAAATTTTAAACATTCATTCATTTGCTTGAAATTTAAACCAAAACCAAACACAGACCAACATGATTTTGTCTCTGGCCTGGTACAGAGTAGGTGTTGTATTGATATTTTCTTGAATGAATGTATTGATGAATGCTTTCACTGACCAGTCTTGAGACAGCTTACTAAATAAGTATGAAGAAGCAAAGACATATTATGCTAAAAGTAATTTTTATATGTTTGTAAAGCATTATTGCTCAATGTATCTCATCTACATTGCTTCTGTGGTTGACAGTGCTTCATTAACTGGTTCTCATATGCTGTTTAAAATTTGCAGATCCCTGTGACACTAGATTTTCAAGGAACTATTAAAGCAAAAGAACCCATTGTTCTAATGCCGGAGTTGAGAGACGGGACTGTAAGTGGAGCCTGACTTTCCCCAAGGACTTACACTTTGTTCTTCAAGGGAGCTGTATCCCCAACTACATGTACTTTGTGAATAAAACCCAGAAATGAAAATGAACTTAACCTACTGTATTTGATGAATGACTAGGGACTCTGTACATTCATTTAGCTCTCTCAGTGTCTATACAGAGTATTATATATTGCGTAACATAAGGGAGGTGACTAAATAAGTGCCAGATATGTAGACCCAGCTTATTGGGTTCTTATAATACTATCTCCATCTATCCCCACTTAGTACCCTCAAGGGTGGGAGGGCATCCACATGGAGGGCAGCCTGGCATGGGTGTGGGAACCCAAACAAGGTGAGAAATGTGTCCATGTTTGGCGAAAGCATCCAGAGCCTAAATAGGGTGTGGAGAACCCAAGTAGGATGAGGAGGACATCCATTAGTGCAAAGGGATGGAGCAAGTATTCACTACATAAAAGAGGACTGATCAAAGAAGTAAACATATTAAAGATAATGAAAGCCAGGTTTCTTACTGCTAGAGAAGCGAGTCACTGATTCAGAAAGAGAGAAAAACAGAATGAACTCTGTGGACTCAGAGATTGGAACTGAATGTATTATGTAAATTTATGCTTTTTTATATAGATAGATGATAGATAAATAGCTACATAGATAGATACATAGAGATAGATGATAAATAGATGATAGATATATAGATGATAGATATTTGCGTGTATGTTGTATATAGAAAATACACATTCTCTACTGACAGAGCTTAAAAACTTTATAGTAATGACCACACCTTGTGCCCAGATCTTAGTTTATAGATACCATTTTTCACCTAAAGGGGCCCAGGCTCCTTAGAGAAATGGCTGACTTGAGGGCAAGGGTTGAGAAAGTCCTGGATGAGCCTGGAACATCTTGTGCTAGAAAGCAAGAAAATGCTAAACACTGAGGGGACTATGTCAAAAGGACATAGAAGCCAGGCTGAGGGGCTTTCAATGACCAAACCAGGGGCAATTTGAGCATCCTAATAAATAATGATGGTAAGAATAAATGATAAAGTAAGAAAAGATAAGTACATACAGACATAAAAATAAATGGATAAATTGCAACTGGGTGAGGATATTTACACAGTTTCAAATACTACTGCTCAAAATACCCATTAATTACAAAGTGGACAGGGTAGCTTCAAAGTGGAGAACACTGGCAGATACTCCCTTAATCAAGTGATCAGGGTGAGCATCATCAAGAATGAGATGAATTGCTCATACATCACCTCACATGACACAGTGAGAACAACTCAGCTTCACCTCTGCAATAGATTTCATACAGCTTCCCCCATCTCATGGATATAAATATATTTTAGTCATAAATGTGTTTTCTCAGTAGACTGAAGCTTTCCCTTGCAGACAAACTACTGCCTCTTCTGTGGCTATAGTCCTATTAGAAAAGATTATTTCTCAAATAATCTCTCAAACTCCATAGTGATTGCACCATGGAATACTACGCAGCTGTAAAGAAGGATCTGTACCCTTTGGGACAGTATAGATGGACCTAGAGAATATTATGCTAAGCGAAATAAGCCAGGCAGAGAAAGACAAACATCACATGATCTCACTTATATGTGGAATCTAAAGAACTTAATAAACTGATGAACAGAATAGATTCAATGCCATAGAAGCATGGATCAGACTGACAAATCTCACAGGGAAGGAGGG